ACTATTACTATCCCCATTTTACAGGTAATAAAACTGGTAGTGTAGTGCCTAAAGGCACTTGACTGCTAACCAGAAGGCTGGCGGTTCAAACTCACCAGCCACTCCTTGGAAGGAAGACAGGGCAATCTACTTCCGTAGTGATACTGCCTTGGAAACCCAAGGAGGGTTTGCTATGAGTCGGGTCTGACTCGACGGCACATAACAACAACAACAACAACAACAAAACTGGGTTAAGTAACTAGCTCAAGATTGCTCATGTAGTTAGTGCTGCAGGCAGCTTATGCTCAACCACTCTGCTGCACTAAGTAATAATTTGGTACACAGTTAAAACCAGAGTTAAAAATTTATGTGATCACTAATTTTCTTTTCAAGTTAATTTAGCTGTTCTTCCTCAACTTTAGGGAATTTGTTTATATTAATGTCCTCTTAGGGAAGAAACTACCAATTTTTATAAAGACTCAAGATTGTAAGACATAAAGTTGACTTTCACATCACTTTTATGTCTCTAGGTACTCCAGTTCAAAATGATCTACAAGAATTTTTTGCATTAATTGATTTTGTAAATCCAGGCATATTAGGCTCTTTGTCATCCTACAGGAAAATATATGAAGAACCCATCATTCTATCAAGAGAGCCTTCTGCTTCTGAGGTATGTCGTTAGGTGCTATTGAGCTGGCTCTGACTCATGGCAACCCTGTGTAAAACAGAACGCAACACTGCCTGGTCCTATGCCTCCTCACAATCTCTCCTGTACTTGAGCCCATTGTTGCAGCCACTGTGCCAAGCCATCTCATTGAGGGTCTTCCAATTTTTTGCTGACCCTCCACTTTACCAAGCATGATATCCTCTAAGGTTTACCTTACTTTAATAAATAATAACATTTAAGAATGTGTACATATATATACATACACATATAGTTTCAAGGCTTACTGTGAAATTCTGCATTCTTAAAGGATTCTATGTGGACAATTTCATTCATAGTATATTTTGATTTTTAAAAAGTAGTATTTAATGAACAGTTTGACCTTGTTTTGAAAGAATCTACAGTATCTTGTGTCAGTAATTTCTTGTAGGTTGAGTTTTAGGATCAATAACTTACCAAAATGTATTGGCTTCCAAGAATTTGCTGTATCAGTTCTTTGCTGGTGATTCTAAGACTCAATACCAATACAGTCTTCATATAAAAACTTCCTTTAAGAATAAATTTAGTTTGCAGATGATTGATTTCTGATGGCTCTTGATGGAGCCATTAGCCAAACAAACAAGGGTTAAGAAACTGTGGGCTCATTTAACTAAATGTTAATGCTGTGGAGTTAATGAGATCATGGTTGTTTTTTCCATCCCAAACTTGTATTTCATTTATTCTATTAAAAAAAAAAAAAAAAATCTGAAGGGAAGCAAATTAGTAAATGATTTATCATTTAAAAATGTTTAATGTTATTTTTAACTGAAAACTTTGTCTATAACATTTTTAGTTTAAATCTGTTTTTCCTTAGGAAGAAAAGAATTTAGGAGAGAGAAGAGCTGCTGAACTTACTCGCCTCACTGGACTCTTTATCCTTAGAAGGACCCAGGAAGTCATAAATAAATATCTTCCACCTAAAATAGAGAATGTAGTCTTTTGCCAGCCAGGAGCACTACAGATTGAACTTTATCGAAAGCTGTTGAATTCTAAGGCCGTCAGGTCCTGTCTTCAAGGGTGGTTGGAAAATAGTCCTCATCTCGTATGTATCGGAGCTCTTAAGAAACTGTGCAATCATCCCTGCCTTTTGTTCAATTCAATAAAGGTAAGTAGTTTGTGAATCAGGCCAGGGTTATGAGATGAGAGGTCTCTGTCACATGAATCTTGGAGAAAAGATTGCACTGATCCTTGCGGTTCTGTTTGTGGGTTTTCAAAAAGATCTGCAGCCACTCCAGTAAGGTTCTTCTGTAGAGCTTCTCCAGCCTTTTACTAGTTCTTCAGAGAATATTCACATTCACAGAGCTAGACTAGGGATGAATAGGTTTGAGACACTCCCTTCTAGGTTTTTGCCCCATGCCCATTGGCACTTTTGACTGCTGACCAGAAGGTTAGTGGTTCAAACCCACCAGCCACTCCTTGGAAGGAAGACTGGGGAATCTACTTCCATAATGATAACATCCTGGAAACCCAAGGAGGGTCACTATGAGTTAGATTCAACTCGACGGCAGTGAGTTTGTTTTTTGTTTGTTTTTATTGAGACTTTGTCAAATACCCTGCAGTGGTCTCCTTTCTTGTGTTATATTAATACAGTCAGTTTTGTTTGTTTGGTAGTAACAAACGTAAAAGTACCATTGAAAAATTAATTTGCCTTATTATAAAAGTGATATAAAAATGATTGTGGGAAATTTGTAAAATTCATAAAAATCTCAAAGAAAAAAAGGAGAATCTTTCATAAGCTCTCCAGTCAGAAAAAGGAACATTTTAATATTAATAATATTAACTGATACTTATTAAGCACTTGAAAGGAGCTCTGGTAGCATAGTGCCTAAGGCATTTAACTGCTGACCAGAAGGTTGGTGGTTCAAACCCACCAGCCACTCTGTGGAAGAAAGAGTGGACTGCTTTGGAAGCCCAATGGGGGTCACTATGAGTCAGAATCAACTTGATGGCAGTGTGTTTGGTTTTGAGTTTTTGGATTAAGCACTTATATTGTACCAAACACCATACTAAGAGCTTTTCTAGTATTATTTATTCTCTACAAAAAAAAACTTTGGAATAAATACTTCCCATTTTTGTTGAGGAAACAGGGGCTTAGAGATGTCTGTCTATAATCTTATTCTAGAGAAACTTAATTTTAATAAACTATGTTGCTACTAAACCCAATGCCATCAAGTTGATGCCAATTATAGCGATCCTATAGGACAAAGTAGTTACCCAGAGGGTCCCCAAGGCTGGAAATCTTTACAGAAGCAGACTGCCACATCTTTCTCCCATGGAGTGGTTAGTGGGTTTGAACTGCTGACCTTTTGGTTAGCAGCCCAATGCCTTAACCATTGCGCCACCAGAGCTCCCTAATATTGGGCTTACTATTTGAAAATGCTAGGTTTTTTTCCTTCCCATCAAATAAAACATTTTCTCAAGTAGGAATCCTTATATAAGTATAATTTTGGTAGCATAGTGCCTAAGGCACTTGACTGCTAACCAGAAGGCTGGTGGTTCAAACCCACTAGCCACTCCTCTGAAAGAAGGTTGGGCAATCTACTTCCTTAGTGATACACCTCAGAAACCCAAGGAGGGGTTGCTAGTCGGGTCCGACTCCATGGCACATAACAACAAAAACAACAACATGGTTGAATTGAGTATTTGGATATTTAATTATCGTAAGGCAGTTTGGAGTATAATAAGCATTTATGTTTTGGAGTTAGACCTTGGCTTCAGTCACTGCTTTACTACTTACTAGTTCCTTAACCATGGGCAAGTTTAACTGTGCACAAGTTAGATTTGTGAGCCTTAGTTTTGTTATCTAGAAAGTTCAGACAATAATAACTTCCTGATAATATTTTTGTGACAATTTGATGAGATATTTTGGAAAGAACCTAGTAGAATGCCTGGGCATAGAAAGTGCACAGTCACTATTAGTACCCTTTATCTTTAACTTACCCTTCACAATTTTTCTTCTGCTATATTTCTTAAAATAGTAAAATCATAATTTGTGAACAATAAAATTTTAGATTTTACATTATGCTCGAGGTCATTGATTATAGACTTACTTAGAACATGGAATGTTCTACCAGAATTCTCTAAGCTTATAATGACTTAATTTATCAAAAGAGAAGTCCATTTTTTGTAACTTTGTAGAAGGCAAGATTATAATAAGCAATATTTTAAGAAACAGATTTTATACACAGTGATAAAAATTAAACCTTGTAGACATACTGGCCAGCAAAAATAGAAGCCAAAAATTCTTTCTTAAAAGGAAGACCATATGATGGCTCAGAAGATAACAGTTAACTTGGAATATCCTTGCACATCTTGAAGAAGCAGCAGAGGCCTGAGAGGTTTTCTCCATTGTTGCCACATGTCTGCTAGTAATAGGCACAGAATAGTGCAAGCTTCAAATATGATGCATAACTGAGACTTTCTCAGAAAAGGCTTTCCTCTAATATCACACACACACACAAAAGATGGATATAAAATGCCTGAAATGAGCCTTCCACAAGTATAATAAGTAACCTTCTTTATGCAATAGTTTACTTATGTGTTCCTATTAAGATTAGATTGTTTCCAAGTTCAGTCAAGGGAATGGCTCTCTGTCAGGAAATGTGAATGAAATGTAACCAATTTAAAAAATCATAACTCATAATTCAAGGGTATTGGTTTATATGGAGTCTAACATGTCTTTGCTGGTCAGAAGAGAGAGCACCCTGCTTAGCTTATATGAGAAGTCTGACTGGTCAACCTGTGAGGGAGGTGTCTCCCTCATGGCATAAAGACATTATCCATTAGTTGATCAGGGAAGTATGCATTATAATCTCCTTGGAAGCTTTTAAAACTGTTTGTCCAGGCTTCACATACCTACTTACTCAGAAGCTGAGGGCAAGACTCAAGTATGAGGATTTTGACAAAGATTTACCAAGTGATTCTGGTTATGTGCTCCAGGTTAAGAGTTTGTGCATTAAGATTACCCATCTCCCTTGTACTCTGACATGATTTTCACCAGACAGCTTTCTGCTGATGATTTGGCTTCTCTTCTGGACCTTCTTTCATAGAACAGAATGCTTAGACCAATTGGTTCAAGTAGGTTGGCCTCATTTGTAACCAGTAAATTTTCATTCGGACTTAGTATTCAGTTTCTTCATTTGATTTGGTTAGTATGAATCATTTCCCTAGAGTTTAAATATGCTCAAGTTTTTTAACATGAAAAGCTGTGTACTAGACTCTGGGTCACTCTGTGACCCTTGATGACCCCTTCAAGGTGTAAGCATTTTAGAGGCCGAACCTGAAGCAGCCAACAATCCTCTCTTTCCCCCTCTATATCCCAAGGATATATCCTTGGGTGCTATGGTTTTCAATCAAATAACTGTAGTCAAACATTGCTATATTTTTGGGAATAAGCTAAATTGAAATTAGTACTCTGTGCCCAGGATTTTATGGTAATGGTGGTTTAAGGGACAAGGATTGACTGCCTTTAAGATTTTTCTAGTATTATTAAAAAGGGAAGACAGCAGATGTAAAAATATTGAGGAAGTATAAAAAATTATATAGTATATTGCTCAGATATGATCAAAGCTAAAATATACTATGTTTAACCTTTGGTAAACCCAATGTAAAAAAAAAAAGTCTCTGAGTAATTAGATGAAATTTTCATTGGGTCCTTAATTATCGATTGTTGTTATTTGCCATCGAGTGGGACCTGACTCATAGCGACCCCTCCTTGGGTTTCCGAGGTGATATCACTTGGGAAGTAGATTGCCCACCCTTCCTTCAGAGGAGTGGCTGGTGGGTTTGAACCACCAAGCTTTCTGGTTAGCAGTCAGGTGCCTTAGGCACTATGCTACCAGAGCTCCTAATTATCGACAGAGTTAGGATATTGGAAAAATGAGGATGCATTCCAGACCGGAGTAGGATGAATGAAGTTTTCACAGTGATGTATCTGGTAAATTTGGGAGTGAGCCAATCACATGAATTAAATCTAAAAATTGATGTAGTCATCAGTAACTGTAATGTTTAGTTGTGTGTTCACATGTGAGGTAGGCATTTTTATTTTATTGTTGAGAATATACACAGCAAAACATACACCAGTTCAGCAGTTCCTACATGTATGGTTTGGTGACATTGATTATATTCTTCAAGCTCTACAACCATTCTCACCCTCCTTTTGTGAGTTGTTCCTCCTTTATTAACATAAACTCACTGCCCCCTAAGATTCCTTTCTAATCTTTCAAGTTGCTGTTCTTAATATGATTCTATATGCAAAAAATACCAAACCCACTGCTGTCGAGTCAATGCCAACCCATAGCGACCCCATAGCATTTCCAAGGCTGTAAATTTTTATAGAAGCAGAACTGCTGACCTTTTGGTTAGCAGCCTTAACCACTGTGCCACCAACTACTGTGATCCTATACACATAGTTCTTAAAAAAGCATAATGCTCAAGGCACACCTTTTTAACTAGTTAAGCTGACCTTTGTTTTCAAGAAGACTGCAGAGGGTATTTTTGGTTTAAGTTTTCAAGAATATCTCAGAACAGTAGTTTCAGGGGTTTATCCAGTCTCTGTGGCTCCAGAAAGTCTGGAGTCCATGAGAATTTGTATTTTCCCCCTTTTGATCAGAATTCCTCTATGGAATCTTTGATAAAAATGTTTAGTACTGATAGCCAGGTAACATTGAGTTCTTCTGGTCTCATGACAAAAGGGGCAGTTTTTCATGGAGGCAATTAGCCACACATTCCACTTCCTCCTAATCCTAACTCTCTTTTTCCTCTGTTGCTCCAGGTGAATAAAGACCAATTGTTGTGTCCTGCATGGCTGCTTGCAACAAACTAGGAAGCAGAACCAAAGCACCAAACATGTTATTAGGCCAATTAACTAGGATATCCATGATAGCTCATGACCCTAAACGTCCAAACCAAGGAATCAAATCCCTTGAGGTGTTTGGTACATAAGCAGCCTCAGCAGCTAGTCTTTTCTGTTGTTGTTGTTGTAAATATATCACACAGCTTTTGCCAGTTCAACTTTTTACAGGTGTATAACTTATAACAGCAATTACAGTAATCAACTCTGCAACCCTACCCTTAATCAGTTTAACCTTCTGTCACTGTTAACCCACCTTCTCCCCTCCCTCCCTTAAGGTAGGCATTTTGGAGGAGAAATTTCAGAGATGCTGATAATCACTTTGGAATAAAATTATTTTAAAAGAAATTGGTAAAAAAATATATATATATAAGTAAGAATATATCTATTAATTTATTGGTTGGATTGTTCTTTCTTGAAGAAAGTCATGAGATTATTGTGCTTTTTCTTTTTTTTTTATTATCACATATTAGCTTCACACCTCATGTGTGAAGCTAACAAATCAGGAGAGAAAAGCAATAATAGGGAAGGAGGGAATAGCGAGAAAAAGAGAGAAACGGTGACAGCAAATCTCGTGATTTTGAAGAGGACTAATTTTGTATCACTGCCCTCTGTTTCCCTCCTTTCTCTTTCTTAGCTATAGTTATATATGGGCAATAATACTGCACATGGAGGGTGAAGGCAGCAGACATTAGGTGACTGCATTAGGACTACGCTGTAATTAAGTAGGATGCATGTTAACTTTTTCAAAAATGATCAAATAGAGGTTTATATAAAAGCTTGGTCTTTTTAGGTAGGTATTAATCCTCTTTGTTCTTCCCATTAAAAAAGGAAACATGAACCAACTTAAAAATTATTTTGATTAGGAAAAAGAGTGCAGCTCAACTTCTGATGAAAATGAAGAAAGGAGTATATATGAGGGCTTGATGAATGTGTTTCCTGCTGATTACAACCCTCTCATGTTTATGGAGGAGGAGTCAGGAAAACTACAGGTGTTGTCAAAGCTTTTAGCAATTATCCATGAACTTCGTCCTTCTGAAAAGTAAGAGACTGATTTAATAAGCTACTTATAATTGATTGTGGAATTTATTTATTCACCATTTTAAAGAAGAAGAAAAGTTAAAAAATAAGTTAATTGTTTTATTCTCTGAGGGCATGGTCAGCTCCCAGTATTCTGTAAGCTCATAATTAACAGTGTGTCTGCAGGTATTAAGAAAGATGAAATATTTATACATGTACATTTTAAAAATGTAGTGATGTCTTTTGATATGTAACACCTAACTTGTTTCTCGATCTCCTTCAGTACACTTTCCTTATTTTACTGTTTCTTAAATATTGATACTTCTTAGAATTTTCTTCTTAGCCTTCTTTTCACTTCAGATCCTGTACCTGGGAGATCTCTACTCCCCATAGTTTCAGTGATCACCTAGAAAGTGTTGATTCCAATTCTCTATCTCTACTCTAACCCTCTTCTAAATCCCACGTCCTTATTTCTGTTTAATGAACATGAAGTCCTATAGGACATTCAGGCTTCACATGTCCAAAACATGTCATTTAGGCCATTGCAAGCCTATTCCTTTTTCATTATTCCTTTGCTTGATAAATGGTACCATAATGCAAGCAAAAAAACAAAGTCATTCTGGACTCAGTGTTCTTCATTTTTCCAATACTAATCAGTCACTAAATTACACTGATTTTATTTCTTACTTTTAGGAATTCATCCCCTTCTTTCTGGTACTGAGATTTTTGTTAATGGAATGTTCTCTATACGTGGACAGGCTTGTTGACTGGTGGCCTTCATCGTGAGGTAATCAGGCAGCAAACGGACTTTTTCATTTGAGATCTTCCTGTCTGTGGGTCTTTTTTCTGTTGTTATTGAAGTCTTCAGAGATGAATTTTCAAATACCCTCTCTCTCCTAGGATACAACGGGGTGTCTGATTGCTGGTATTCTGGGACTTAGCAGCAAAAGTGGGCTAAGATCTTACAATTTAGTAGTAAACTTTCATTTAAATCTGTCACTATATACCTGCCTGACTGAATCCCCAGAACTAAGTTTTTTTGATTTAATTATCTAGAGAGTAAACATTCTATTTGAGAAAGAAGTGTCATCTGGTTACATGGGGATGGAGCCTGAGGTCTGTTTACCTGTGCTCTTGTAATAGCTCCAGTCTAAACTCCTTTCTGAGGTACCTGTTGTCTCTGATGCTTGAGTCTTAACAAGATTCTGTGGTGTGAATTGTACTTGTTTCTCATTGGTGTTTCCCTCTTCTTTTTTTTTTTAATTATTTTATTTTATTTATTTATTTTTATTTATTGTGATTTGGGTGAAGATTTACAGAGCAAATTCACTTTCCATACAGCAGTTCACATATTCTTTGTCTCATGTTATTGACCACAGTTTACCACAATGCAACAGCTCCCCTCCCACTTCCTCCCCATAGTTACCACTTTGTTTCCCTCTTTTGGACACTTAGGATTCATCGTCTTCTGTACTTCTAAGCAGATCACTATTCCTCTATTTTCTCTGTGTGTTCATATATGGATTCAGGTTTATAGACATCTCTGTGTTTTAACAAAGATAGGAATTGTACAGGGTCATTTTTACATATTCTTTAAATATTAGCTATAATGTGATATTTTGTTTTAAATAAAAAATTTAATGTTGTCTTTAAGATATATATAAAGAGTCTTTCTTTTTGGTTGACAGGGTGGTGTTGGTATCTAACTACACACAAACCTTGAATATTTTACAAGAAGTGTGCAAGCGCCATGGATATGCTTATACAAGGCTTGATGGACAAACACCAATCCATCAAAGACAGCAAATTGTTGATGGCTTCAATAGTAAATACTCTTCTGATTTTATTTTTTTGTTAAGTTCGAAGGCTGGTGGTGTGGGACTTAACCTTATTGGAGGATCTCACTTAATTCTCTATGACATTGATTGGAATCCAGCCACTGATATCCAGGTAGGAGTATTTATGCATTAAATAAATACTTTTAGATGCATACCGGGGACACAATGCCTGCTGGGATACAAAGGTGATGATGGTATAATAATAACTGCTGCACATTGAGCCCTTTGTTGGGTATCAGGTACACTGCTTAGTGCTTTCCATTTATTTAATTTCCACAACTCTATAAGTGCAGATATTGTTAGCATTTTACAGATGAAGATCCAGTTTGTTCTAGGATGTACAGCTTTTTTAGAGGCAGAGCCAAAATTCACACTAAAACCTATAGTTCTCCAGGCTCATTAGAGTTTGGCCTTCAATGTACTCATGACTATCAAGAAAACATTATAAAGTGTTATAAATGCTATGATCGATGTTTGCACAAGGTAGGATGATAATGATATAAAATTAACTTATTCAGGAAAATATTTCAGAGGAAACTTTTTGTTTTTTTTCAATGTGCAGTCTGTCTTCATATGTTTTGGGATTTCTACCTATAGCTTTGCTTCTCAGTTGGTATCTGAATTGAGAGACTACATGACCACCCTTAGGTTCAGTGAGTCTCTAGAAGGAGTCACAGAACTAAGAAAAGCTGTTGTACTCATGATTACAGTTTATTACAGTGAAAGGATACAGACTAATACCAGCAAAGGTATAAGGCTTATAGGGCAGCATTCAAGAGAGACCAGGTGCAAGCGTCCCATTTTTGTCTCTCAGTGGAGTTGTATGGACAACCCTTAATTCTTCCGGTAATGATGTATGACAACACATATGGAATATTGTCACCCAGGGAAGCTCACCCAACCTTTGGTGTCCAGGGTTTTTACTGGAGGTCAGTCACATAGACATGGACCACCAGTATAGCTGACTTTAATTACTCAATCTCCAGCCCATTCAGAGATCAAACTGATACCGTGTGACCCAAGACCTCAACCTTAAGTCACATTGTTAGCATGAACTATCATGCATGGCCTAAGGTCCAAGATAACAATATTGTGATCAGGCAGGATACTCCAATGTCTTAGAGACTGTCTACTAGTAGTGATCAAGGGCCAGATCTTCCTTTAGAATGTGCAGCATTTGAATATCCCAAACCCTCTGAGTTAGTCTTTTACTGCACAGTATCATTGATGAGTTATTAAACCACAAGGCTATGTAGAGTGTGAGTTGATTGCAGACATGGGAAGGACTCAAATAACATCATGGCTTAAGTAGCTACTTGGGCTGGGAATAAGCCTTCCATGCTATACTTGTTTCTTTTGGATTCTGCTGTCCAAATTCACTATTCCATTCTTTGATGCAGATAGACCCACTTACTCTTGGGTGGCATCCCCATAGTTATTTATACAGTACTACAGTGAATGCCCAATCCTATGGTGTCACCAGCGGTGTGTAGAGAGCACGAATCACAATGGATGACACTGTCAGAGGGGGTGACACCAAAATGACTATTTATAAAATTTTTGTGCAGTGTTTCAACAGACATTTATTATTATTTTTTTTGTTTATAAAAATGCTCCTGTGGTTAGTTATAACAGCAAAAACACTTTTTGTAAGCCCAGCATACATGTATCAGTATGCCTACAAAGCTAAAACTCTGTGCTAGTTTGCTTTTTGAACCTTCTAATGCGCTCCATTCAGAGCTGTCATTATTACACAGTTACAGTGACCCTTCAAACATGTGGCTGCATCTGCATGTGCTACAGCACAAGCTGTTCTGTTGCTGCTGGTATTTTCATAGCCACTGATTTTGTCAACTTTTCTGGTATTTTAGCTATAATATTGTGCTAATGAATATTTGTGAATGTATATCAATAATGTTTTTGAGAATGTGGAGTCATAATTAAAGGAAAAGAAACCAAAACCAAAACCAAACCCACTGCCATTGAGTCGACTGTGACTCATAGCGACCCCCATTGGGTTTCTGAGGTGGTAAATCTTTACGGAAGTAGATTGCCCAGTCTTGCTTCTGTGGAGCGGCTGGTGGGTTTGAACCACCAACCTTCTGGTAAGCGGTCAAATGCCTTAGGCACTGTGCTACCAGAGCTCCTTAAAGGAAAAGGAGAAAAATGAAAAAGGCTTCTGTTCAGTTACTAATAATATTGTAACTAATATTGTTGTAAGTCAACGTAGAAAGATTTTACAAAACAGTTTTGTTGTTAGTATTCATATAATCTAAGCATTTTAAGCAATTTAAAACTATCTTATCACATTTTATTCTATGATTTGGGGGAGCTCTGGTGGTGTAGTGTCTAAGGCATTTGGCTGCTAACCAGAAAGCTGGCAGTTCAAACCCACCAGCCACTCCTTGGAAAGAAGATTGGACAATCTACTTCCATAGTGATACTGCCTTGGAAACCCAAGGAGGGGTTGGTATGAGTCGGATCTGACTCAACGGCAGTGAATTTTTTTTTTTTTTTGGTTTTTATTCTATGATTTAAATTGGTAATAAACATTACTAACGATTCTGTGTGGTGTGGCATGGGAGGAAGTCCATGGGGGAAGGTGTTACCATGAGTCCCCTGCTCTGGGTGACACCAACTAGGCTTTGTTTTTTGAAGCTATAAGTAAAATCTAGAATTCCTAATATTAATTATATTCCTGTAAATTTCTTATGTGGAAAAAGCCATTATTTTCTATTGTACTCTCAGAATTTCATTTATTTTCTGTAGGCAATGTCTAGAGTATGGAGAGATGGACAAAAATATCCTGTACATATTTATAGACTTTTAACTACAGGTAATGACCCTTCAACATGACAAAAAATGTTTATGCTTTATATATTTTTAAAACAAATTTTTTCAGGGGTAGACTGTGCTTGAATACCAGTAATGTTGTTATTCCATTAATTTACCTTACCCGTTCTCACTGAGTCGATTCCAACTCATGGTGATCCCATGTGTTAAGGAGTAGGACTGTTCATAGTGTTTTCTTGGCTGTAATCTTTATGGAAGCAGATCATTAGGCCTTTCTTTCATGGTGTTGCAAGGTGGGTTCAGACCACTAACTTTTAGGTTAGTAGTTGAGCACAAGCCATCTGTGCTACCTAGAGACCTTTCTGTTAACTAGTATAGTAATAAACATATTTTACCTTGCAAAAAGAATAGAAAGATTTAAAGCAAGTCCGATGAATGTTTTCTCTTCAGGTACAATAGAAGAAAAGATCTATCAGAGACAAATCAGTAAGCAAGGTCTTTCTGGGACAGTTATGGACCTGACTAAGACATCTGAACATATTCAGTTTTCAGTAGAGGAACTTAAGAATTTGTTCACTTTACATGAAAGTTCACATTGTCTTACTCATGACCTACTTGACTGTGAGTGTACAGAAGAAAAAAATTATACAGGTCAGTTATATTTCGTTTCTATTACTATGGCACAGTTTGTTTGTCTTTGTTCAGCAATTCAAAATATTAAATACAGAATAATACAAAAATATTTGCCATTTACATATGTTAGTTTTCTTTTCCTCAGCTCACAGGGAAACTGCCAGATGGATATTTGAGAAAATATGAATTAGAACTTTATTCCCTTAATTTAAATTTCTTAAATTTTTTAATTTCTTATTTCTGAATCAATTGTGAACATTTTAGCTTATTGAGAAAAGTTTAATCAATCCTGGTGTAATGGATTTGGAGTTAGAAAAATGTTTTGAATCCTTATCTCTGTTTCACAAAAAGATACGTTTGATGTAAGGCTCCTACTCTTTGTATATATTTTATAGAACTTTTCAACATAGGGTCATACTTTTTGAGGCAATTAGCATGGACTGTCATACTCAATTCAATGAACTGCTCGTGCTGTTTAAACATTTTATATGGAGCTCAAAGCCAGCAAAATTAGACACCACTCAGATAGGAACTGAATCAGGAGTAGGACTTGGGCCAGCAATGCCCTTCATGGGAAGTCAACTGTTAAGTTGCACTGAGATAGGTTTAAGAAGGTAGAGTGTGAAAGAATTTGATTTGGTTGCCTTCTTGTACTTCTTGTATCCTGTACTTATCTCAGTTTTCCTGGGCATTCATCCATTCATTCTCCAATAGGGAGAACATATATAAATAGATAAATGCAATAAAATTTTAGTTGTGCTATGATGAAAGTATAAGGCATTGTGGAGGCTTCAAGGAAGAAGTGATTAGTTTTACTCAAAAGCTAGAAAATATTTTAACATGGATGTGAGTTTAAACCAGGTGGACTTTAGGAAGGACAGTGCAGTCAGAACAGCATGAGCAAGGAGCAGGCTGGCCAATTCAGTGGGAATGAAGGGAAGTCACAGCAAAAGATAGAGCTGGAAAATTATGAAGTGTTTTGGTTCCAGAGGCCATGTCTGTCATGCTGAAGAGGGTTAAGTGCAAGAGTAATGTTTTAAACTTTGCATTTTAAAAAATTATTAAATAGTTAAAGCATACGAAAAAAATGTAGAGAATAATCACAAACACCTGGTTACCCACCACGTAACTCTGTCAAATCATAACATTTTATCGTGCATACTTAATGTTATTGTTGTTGTTGTGTGCCATCCAGTTGGACCCGACTCATAGCGACCCCTCCTTGGGTTTCCGAGGCGGTATCACTACGAAAGTAGATTGCCCCATCTTCCTTCCGAGTAGTGGCTAGTGGATTTGAACTGCCAGCCTTCTGGTTAGCACTCAAGTGCCTTAGGCACTATGCTGCCAGACAGAGCTCCCTCATGCTTAATATGTCTCCTTTAAAAAGAGCTGAAACATTTTATATGAAGTTGAAGACCACTGTGTTCCTTTCCTCTATCATTTTCTCCTCCTACCCTTCCTCATAGATAGGATCTGTCCTGAATTTAATGTTTATCAGCCCAATGGATGTTTTATTTTAATATTTTCACTACATGAATATGTGTCTATAAACAATAGGCAATATTTTAAGCAGGTTTTTAAACTTAATCATGAGAATCATATTACAAATTGATTTTTCATTCAATATTGTATTTTTGAGATTCATCAGTGTTGATACTTGTAGCTTTACTTCATTCATTTTAGTAGTTATACTTCATTTTAGTAGTTATGAAGGGTTCTATCATAAGCTGCACCACAATTTATTTATTGATTCTTCTGTTGGTTGACATTTAGGTTGCTTCTCAAGTGTTCACTATTATAAAAATTGTTTGAAATAAACTGTCCTGTATGGATCTCCTTATACACACATATAGGAAAATTTCTGGTGTCTATATCCAGGAGTGGGTCCTAACGTATACTCATCTTCAGTTTAAAACTTACTGCTTGTGTTTTTTTTGTACTAGCAGTTCCTGGATGGAAATAAAATAGTATGCATTTCTCTGCTTACTAACTGGTGAGGAGTTTTTCATATCCTGTTGGCCATTCCAGTTTACTCTTCCGTAAACTATTTGTTTGTATCCTTTGCCCGTATTTCAGTTAGTTTTCATAATAACTTGGGGTTTCTTACGTATTTTGAAAATCCATCTTTTGTACATGTTTACTCCAAGTTTGTGCTGTAGTTTTTTACTTTATGGTATAATTTATTGAAAATATAACTTAAAAAATTTAATGTACTCAGATATATCAACCTTGGGCTTTTTGTGTTTTGTCTAAAAAAAAATTCCCACTTTGAGATCAAAAATACATTTTCCTTTTTTTTCCCCTAAAAGTTTTAAATATTGTTTTTCACATTTGGGTTATCATTTCATGTAGAATTTATTTTTTAAGTAGTATGTGATATAGTCATATTTTTTTCATGATATATAATTAATAGTCCCAGCATATATTGAATCTTATTCCCTTTGATTTGTAGTATTACCTCTGTCATATATCAATGTCTATACATTTTTGGGCCTTTGTTCACTTGCATTGGTCTTTTTATCTATCTGTGTATCAGTACTACTGACTTAATTACCATGCCTTTGTAATAGTACTTAAATGAGTCCTTTCAACTTACTTTGTTATTCTCCAAAATTGTTTTGACTATTCTTGTCCATTGTTTTAAGAAATACATAACATAACATTTGCCCAATTAATGTTTTTCACATGTATATTTTTATGGTATAAATTACATTAATCATGTGTGCAACTGTCACCAATAATCGTTGCCAAATAGGCATTTAAAGCTTTAGATAGTCCTCTAAGCTGAACCTCATAATTTTGAGAGGTAGTCTTTTCATTCTGTCAGTTCCTGGAACCTTATTTTTCACCAGTGTCTTCAGAGCACCTTAGACTTCTTCCTTAAGTACCATCAGTTCCTGATCATATGCTACCTCCTGAAATGGTTGAATATTGACCTTTTTTTTGGTTCATTGACTCTTTGTATGAGGATATCATTGCTGATGTCAGATGGATCTTACCTGAAAGCAGAGAATACCAGAAAGATGCTCACTTGTGTTTTATAGACTACGCAAAGGCATTCACCTGTGTGAAATTGTGGATAATGTTGTGAAGAATGGGAATTCCAGAACTCTTAATTGTGCTCATGTGGAACCTGTACATAGACCAAGAGGCAGTCATTCAAACAGAACAAGGGAATACTGTGTGATTTAAAATCAGGAAGGGTATGCGTCAGGGTTATATCCTTTCATCCTACTTATTCAGTCTGTATGCTTTGCACATAACCCAAGAAGTTATCCGAGGAAGAGTATGGCATCAGGATTGGAGACAGACTCATTAACAACCTGTGATAAGCAGATGACACGCCCTTGCTTGCTGAAAGGGAAGAGTACTTAAAGGATGAACTGATGAAGATCAAAGACAACAGCCTTCAGTATGGATTACACCTCAACATAAAACAAAAGTCCTCACAACTGTACCAATAAGCAGCATCATGAGAAATGGAGAAAAGATTGAAGTTGTCAAGGGTTTCATTTTACTAGGATCCACAATCAATTCCCATGGAAGCAACAGTTAAGAAATCAACCAATGCGTTACATTGGGCAAATCTGCTGCAAAAGACCTCTTTAAAGTGTTCAAAAGCAGAGATACCACCTTGAGGATAAAAGTATTCCTGACTATTATATTTTCAGTCACCTCATGTGCATGCAAAAGCTGGGTACTGAATAAGGAAGTCTGAAGAAGAATTGATGCTTTTGAATTATGGTGTTAAGGAAAAATATTAAATATGCCAAGGACTGCCAGAAGAGTGAACAAATCTATCTTGGAAGAAGAATAGCTAGAATGCTCCTTAGAAAGGGAGTATGGCGAGACTTCACCTTACGTGCTTTCGACATATTATCAGGAGGGACCAGTCCCTGGAGGACATCATGCTTGGTGAAGTAGAGGGTCAGCAACAAAGAAGATTCTCAACAAGATGGATTGGCACGGTGTCTACAACAACAGGCAGGCAGTATTTCGTCTATTGTGCATAGGGTTGCTATGAGTTGGAACTGACTGAATGATACTTAAAAACAACAATCTTTTCATTATTTGGTTCTAAAGATTTTCTGTTTTCCATTATGATTTCATCTTTGACTGATAAGTTATTTAGAAGTATGTTTTAAAATGTATCTTAGTTAACATTTTGTTAATGAATTTTGGCTTTTATACTGTAATCAGATATATGATCTGCTTGATAGTGATTCTTTGGTGAGTATAGAAGCTTGGTGTGTAGCCTAATGTGGCCACTTTTTTGTGTGTACATTTCTTTTTTTGCATGAAAATCATACGTATTCTTTTAATTGCTTGTGTTAGAGTCTGCTATGTTAGTCAAATTTTGTTACCTAATTTTTTCATTTTTCTAAAAAATTTTTATTGTGATTTGGGTGAAAGTTTACAGAGCAAATTCATTTTCCATACAGCATTTCATAAACATTTTTCTCATGACATTGACTTCAATTTCCCATAATGTAACAGCTAATTTCTTTATATTTTATGGATTTGAAAATGACTTATTTAATTTTGAATTGGTAATGTATTTCTATGACTCAGATATTTACAAATTTAAACTGTGTGTAATAAAACATCTTCCTGCCACCCTCATCTGGCTACTTTCTAGCCCCTTTCCCCGTAAGAAACCACCGTTATTAGTGTTTTACATATCCTTCCAGACACATTTTTATGGATATGCAAACAGTTCTAAAAATATATATTTACCTAATTTTTTCTCAGTAAATGATAGCATATTATGTAGTTCTTTATCTTTTCCACTTAATAGTATATCTTGGAAATCTTTCCATTTTAGTACACAAAGAATTTTCTTATTCTTTTCCTCTAATCCTCTATTGTATGGGTATGCCATTGTTTAACCACCCCCTACTGATATACGTTTAGATTCATTCCAGTCAGTGTATATCTTTATTAATATGTCTTTTTTCATTTATTCAAGTACAAAAACCAAACCCACTGCCATCAAGTCGATTGTGACTAATAGCAAC